ATATATCGTCATAATCAGTGGCGAAATTACGCTTTTCAATTAATAGAGTTATGATGTCGACCAAAAAAATTTAATAGGACCATTTCGTTGAACATCTGACAGGAAAATGTCGATTATTGCTAACATCTGCTGAAAGCTAATACCGATATATGTCAACAACTACTATAATATGTAGAGACTTGTCAAAGGTGACTACATTTTCCTGTAGAGTAATGTTGAAGACTGCCAAAGCTTGTCAATTCAAGCATTTTATTAAGCATTTGGTGCACACAATAGAATTGCAGACAAGACGAGAGAAAAGAAAGACATGGATGATTAAAAAAAACATAGAAGAAGTAAGAAGAGGAGGTTGCAACATGGTTTACACTAACTGTTCATAGAGACAACACAATACACATACAAAGAGACATAGGATTGGACAACTGATGCCCTATGTTGACTCCTGAACTGGCCACAATATGTTAGTTTAATTGTTATAATACGGATGAACGACATACTGATTTGTCACTATATAACATACACCTATAATATAATATTAATAAATAGATACACAACAAAGAGCATCATTACCCATTTCTTAAAGAGTAGCATAAAATTTCCCTTTCATAGTTCATATCCTGCAAAAGAAAAAAATTACACCCGATCATTAACTAGCATGAAGAAACACAAGACCAAGTAAGTGTAGTATTAACTCGCTGTCTCAAGAAAAAAGAAGAAAAAGGAACTCGGTTTATGAAAGTCCAAACTTTGACATAATATGGCATCAACAAAAATTCATCTTTTTGTTATGGAAAGAAAAAAGAAAAAAGAAAAGTGAATTCACGAGTAGTAGAAGTGTTTTGCTAAGAAATTTCCATGCTCGGACCCTTTTCAACTTCTAGCTTTTAGCTTTTACCAACTTTTTTTAGCTAGTATATAATGGAGACAAATTACGCGGTCTATTAGTACTTTAGAGAAATTTAACTCGAGTTCTTATAGACTACGTCTGAAATAACAAGATTCTCTTACGACGACGATTTTTTATTATCATAATATCTAAATTTTAACTTTTATTGTTATGATATAGATGGACGACAAAATTAACTGATTTGTCATTATATACATATACCTGTAATATATTATTAATAAATAAATTCACATATTGTAATATCACTAATATTACGTAATAATCTGACAGTTCTACTATAAATCTTCCAAACAGTTGATTAGGTGAAAAGCAAAAAAACAGGTAGCTTTCAAAAGTTCAAAACTCTAAGCATGGGGATGAGATGACAAATCCGCCACCCCACCATGTGAAGCCCTTTGTTGGATGCCTTGAGCTAGCCGTCTCCTTTTGATCAGACAGGAAGTGGAGTTCCTATACAAACTTTGAAAAGAAGGATGCTTCTATTCAATCCAATATATTACCCTTTTGCACTGAAAAATAACGAGAGGAGCTTACAAAAAAGCCAAACGCTGCTTTTTCAAAGAGAGTGCCAAAAGCAAATCGAGAAAGGTTTTGAGCATCCTAACTTAGAGCTGGTTTGGTATTGCTATACTTTGAAAAAATTGCTGTTAGAATAAGCAGCTGTGCTGTGAGAATAAGCGGCTGTGAAGTAAATCAGCAGAGCGTTTGATAAACTTTTTTGTAAAAGTGCTTTTGGAAAAAAAAAAAAAAAAGCAGTCTGATAGTGGATCTTTTCATTAAATGAGCACTGTAGCTCTGTGTGCTTTGAAAAAAAAGCAGTTTTCCAAAGTTGCAAATAGCAGCTTCAGCTTTTTCCTTTGATTTCAGCTTATTCTCACAGCAGCTTCCAAAATAAGCCTTTTTTTTTAGTTTACCAAACACCTAAAACCCTCACAACTTTTTTTCATAGATGTTTTTTTTTAAGCACCTCACTCCCAAACTACCCCTTAATATTATGAGATAAGATTTTTGGTAACTTATCGTTTATTATTGTTCATGGAAAAATAGGAGACCTATTTATCATCGTGAAATGATAGTGATTTTGAAATTTAAACTCATTTAGTAATGATAAATAAGTTAATAGTATCACCATTACTTGATGATGGTGAGAAAAAATGCACTCGTTCTAGTACTAAAATCCTAGAAAGATGGCAAGTGAGGAAAACAAAAAAAAAATTCAATGACCCATGATGTGGTTAGGTGCCTTAAGTACATGACAATACTAGTCACGGATTATTCTATGTTATTTTGTCATGATACTGACCATGATTATTTGCAACAAGAGTTTAAGAATATTATTTGGTTTTAATTAATCATGGTTCTTTGTTTGATCGAATTGTTTTATGTGGGGGTCATTATATAGGCATAAACCCTTTTTTTGGTTCTCCAGTCTTTTGAACATTCTATAATTCTTAGGCCACCATGCTTACCCATTGAATATATCAAAAAATTAGCAATAATCAATGGCAGATTTTGGCCCTTCAGCATAATTGAATCTGCACATGGTCATCACAACTTAAGCCACACTGCCAGGGACCCCATATGTCACACCACATTCCAATTCCCATTGGGCCATTCCTCTCTACCAAGTATGCTACTAGCTTATTTTTGTTCGTTGCTTATCTACATCCAGAAAATTTTTCTTAGCAGTTGAGGAGGAGAGATTCAAACTTGAGACTCTTTCGAGGAGAGAAATACAAATAAATCAAAGGTTACAACTCGTTTTATCAACTAGCTTATGTAGGAAGCACTTCTATGTTTTGTCTTCTTGGAATGCTTTTATCAGAAACACGTTGAAATAAGTATCTAGCAAATGCTTCCTGAAGAAACATCCAACAAGTAATTCTCCAAAAAGTGTTTCCATGACCTAGAAGTAATTTTAACTACTTTTGTCAAATACAGTAAAAAAAACTTTATAGTTGTTAAGAAACACTTTTAGCTCGATCAAAATCAATTCCAAACATGGTCTTAACATAATGTAACCTATTACGTACGTGGGGTTGTGTTATGTAGCTCCTAGATAGAGGGTACGTTATGCTATATAACTATATATATTGGTTTTTTAATGGTGGTAAAGTGTAGGTACGTAGAAATGCCATTTGGATTGCACAAGCTCGAAAGTGATTGCTTTGCGTTGTTGGGACACCTTTGAGTATGAAACAAGTGAAACTCAATACAGCTGGCTAGTAGCACAGCCAAAATATGTACCTTAACTTTGAAGAGAAAAGTACATAAAAACAATCTTGCGTTTTCATTAGATCTCATCGATCTACTCCATCGCGATGCTGATGATCGATCAAATAGCTAGCTAGCTAGCTTAGGTGACTCTCCTAAGACAAAAATACATTGCTTTGATTAAGTTAAACCGATTTGGTGATGGTCAACCCTAATTATGATCGATCAAATAGCTAGCTAGCTAGCTTAGGTGATTCTCCTAAGACAAAAACACATTGCTTTGATTAAGTTAAACCGATTTGGTGATGGTCAACCCTAATTCCCACGTGTTTAACAAGCAAACCCTAATTCCCATAGGAAACAACAAAACCCTAAAGATCTTCTTGCATCCAAAGCACTCGGAAGTTAACCCTCATTAGGGTATAACATGCATGGAACCGATCGACTCGAAAATGTTTACGCGGAAGAACTGTACTGGTCAAGTCTTTAAACATGTTGGTGATAGGTGTTAATCGCACCTCTTTCGTTTTCTTGAAAAATAGCCATATATAATAACGTTTTCATCTACATCTTACGTTCCAAGAAAATGATGTGTGACTTAAGAGTTCATGCATGGGACCGGCATTGGCTAAAAGATTCATATAATCTAATACGAGAATATCTTTTACATAACTTTTTACACACGTTTTTGTGGAGCTCACTCCGTAATGTATTTTAACGATTCGAATCATCTATTTTTTAAAACATCATTCATAAATTATCTTTACAAAAAATTAGAAAAATCTAAAACCATTAAGACATTCATTTGTAGCGAAGAAAATAGTCGAATACAGCTCTATAAAGAAACCTAAACCCTAAATCCAACAGTTAAATGATTTCAGATTTAAGTGATTTTGGTAGACATAGTCTTTGAGAGAAGACCTAAAAGATGGGTAATTTAGAACGTTGAAATACATTACATAGTGAGTTCACGTGTTTCAAAAATTGTGTATGAAAAATGATACTACGAATCCGCTATACATATATGGTTATAATTATTTTCTCAAAATTTGAAACGGACAGCACACCAGAACCTGCATAATTACACAAAAGTTCAACTTTAACAGAAGTATAAAATTCATTTTTACAGAAGCAATACATGAACTTCATTTGTGTGTATTTTATATGCATCTAGTCTACTCTTTGTGCTAAGTATAATATTCAAGATATGACATCACAACAATAGACCTCTTACCAAACCACAGACCATCTCTAAGTTATTATAATTAGCTTTTGTGATGAATTCCTAGTCATGAGATTGCCCACAAAATCTAATTATGCCACTGTTAATTATTAAACAACCTGAACTCATTAGGGACAAATGATCTTCACGACTACATATTCTTACCAATCCTAAATAATTTTTTCGTCTATGTTTATCTCTCTAATCACGTGAAATCATATACTGATAAATATGTAGTTTTGAAACTAACAACATATCTGCATAAAGTAGCCAACATGTAAAAGCCCAGTTACATCATATGCCTTGATGGATAATTAAAGGCTCAAGCCTTGCTATTCACATTTGGAGGACAGAATCCGGGACGTATCATAATCTCGAATCAAATCTAGAACTTATCATAAACTTAACTCATTTCCGCTCAAATTTAGTTATATTTTTTAGGCTGACACTTCTCCAAGGGCCAAATGTTTCTTCAATAAAGTGCATATAGAGTTCTTCAATCCATAATGGGTGTGACCTCTCTGTGGCTTTAATCATTGACTGACACATATTAAGTTTCTGACAACAAAGTTAAGAAAAGTTAAGTTTATAAGCACGTATCAATCAATGATTGAGACAACACAGAGAGGCCACATTCATTTTGAGTGCAAAATGAGAGAAGCAATATTTCTTATTTTATTGATTTAATTTGCAGTATTTTTCTCATCAACATTGATCAATGACAAGCTACAAATTCTTGGATCAACGAAAAAGGTAAAAAAAAAAAACACAACTGACTATGAACCTCACAACACCATCCTGAAATTCAAAGGAAGCATCTTTTGTACAACCACAAACGTCCTGCTTCTTCGAGATAATGTGGACCCCCAATTGAAAACTGCCCCTCGCTATCGCAGCCATTGATCGAACAAGATGCGAGATCCTGTACACAAGCAATGCATCTTCCATGACCCCATCATCCATGACACAACATCTTGTCTGTTTTCTGACCACCTTGCTCTAATCCTTTGCATTATTCTTTGATAATCACACACAGCATGGAGACTACCACATAGAGATGTGAAGTTCCCGTTCGATATAATTCGCTTCACTACAGCCTATGCCTGCAATCTAAACTGCTTTATCTGCTACCTTTTTCGCTATTTCCCAACAGCAGCGGCAACTCCAGGCGGGATTTTCTGGAGCCATGTTGGAAGGCAAAGCCGTCGTCAATGAGACTGATATGCTTCAAGCAATGCAGCAAGACGCTCTCCATTTAGCTGCAAAGGCTCTCGATAACTTCGATGTCACCGAACCCACTGAAATTGCTCAATTCATAAAGAAGGTCACCTCTCCTTTTCCTGGATTATCCTCAGCATTGAATCCTCGCTAAATGATTTGAATTCAAGTGTTTGTTTCTACCTTCTTTGCTTGTTTCAATGCAGGAATTCGACGAGACATACGGGCTGGGGTGGCAATGCATCGTAGGAACAGATTTTGGTTCGTTTGTGACACACAGCCAAGGCTGCTTCATCTATTTCTTCATCGGTAGCCTTGCATTCTTGCTTTTCAGGGGAACGGCTAATCTCGCTGTGGAAGCAGATAAGATCCCGCCACTGGAGGTTGTGAAGGCATAAGCTCTGCTTCATAAACCTTGACTTCCTTTTTGCTCTCCTCAAATATGTACATCAAGAAAATAAATAAACGAATTCCAAGTTCTGTAATTTCTGGCCCTTCGTTCTGTCGACCTTCCATTTCATTAAGCTGAATGAAAGTGAAAATTTCATATCCAATATCTTTATCAAATGTCCTCTGCAGCTTGAGGCTGTATGAATAATATTTTTCTTAGGTCAGAGGCAGGGCTTCACGAAATAGTTTCAGCTGGGAGCAGGATAGTTGAAGACCATGCAACCTGATGCTTACAGATTCAAAGATAAGTAACTTGATGATCCATTCAATTGCTAGTGCGCAAACCTATCCCATGGTAAATTAGGAAAAAGGTTGCATGAATGACCATGAGTTTGTGCGTGTGCGTGTGCGTGTGTGTGTGAGAGAGAGAGGGTACCATGTTCTCTGTAAGCTTCAAAGCATTAGCAGAATAGGTTTGAATCTTCAGAAAGTGAGAACAAAAGGCGGGGCATCCCTTCTTGGCCCAGCAACAGAACGGTAAACATAAACTTTATCAGCCACACAGTCATCATCCCCTTCATCCTTCATTACCTCAACGTTCAATCTCGGCATCTGACTTGCCAATAACCGGCAGGCGTTTATAGTCACATTGCAGGCTGACATCCAAAGTGATCTCATGGATTCATACTTCTCTATATCTGAGAGAAAAGCTGCATTCCCAAACGGGCAGTCCCTTATCTCAAGTTTCTTGAGCTTTGGACAACCTTTCAGCACACACTGCATCCCCAAATCACTTTTTCCAGCGAAGGCTACTGAAAGCTTTTCCAAATTCTTAGCGTACTTCCCAATGTATTCGAAGGCATGGTCAGTCAATAAACCTGACACTGAAAGCCGTTGGAGTTTAGTGCAATTCTTCGCAACTGCACCAAAAGCCTCATCCATAGGCTCGTTCGTCATGTAATCTGGTTGCCCTGGGATCATTATGCAGAGACGAAAGTGGGTGATATCGGGGCAATTTTGTGCAACGGTTGCTACAGCTGCATTAGTCATCTGCCAACAGAAGTAGAGGATATAATGGAGTTTTCTGCACCCATGAGACACAGCAACAAACCCTGATTCAGTCACCCCACGGATAATACCATCACCATCAGGATCAGAAGGGAAAACACGGAGTTCCTCAAGCAAAGGACAGTTAGATCCAACAGCCTTCAACCCTTGGTCTTCCACTGTGTCCAGTACCTGTGATAAAAATTTGATATCAAGAGTTAGCACCTAAGGATTTCAACGGTGCACAACTCTCTGATTTCAACATTAGTAGTCTTGTTGATGAAGTATTTGCAATGTTCAGAAAAATAAACAAGTTAACTAAACCGAGTTCAAGTTTTTATGTCTTCCGCGTGATCAATGAATAATGATTTTAATTTTCCAACTATAAACCATGTCTGTTCTTCTCATATATTGATAAACTTTCCCAAAACGAAGAATTGCAGACCAAGAAAGATGTGGTAAATTTACCCAAAGGCGCCGGAGACGTGGGCAATAAGCAACAAGCTCAGCAAGGTCCCAACTTTGCAAAGCAGCAGCATAACTCAAATTCAAGAAAGTAAGATTTGTAGTACATGCAGGATATACAACTGGGAGATAAAGAGTGGTTGCTTCCCATAATCCAGAGAGGGTGTGTAAATTCTTGCAATTGCTAAATGCTCTTAAGAATTGTGAATTCTGACAGGCTGCGATCTCTTGCACGGCAAATGAGCCGGTCCCGAGCTCCAAAAGTTGAGGAGCATTGGTAAGAAGCCTCTGCAGTTGCTCCAAGGTTACATTTTTATTAACCTTCAACACCTTTAATGATATGCACCTTTTTACAAGCCTCTCAAGAGCATCAAAATCGACGTCGGAATTCAGGCTTGCAAAGTTCAGTATTTCCAAAGACGTGAATGTTTCAGGGAAACAACCTAACCAACTGCCACTTTTCTCATCAATTTGATTCTCCTGGATGTCAAGTTCAATCAAATTCCTGTAGTCAAATTACGAGGGGATCGATTTAGTTTATTCAACAAGTGAAGCTCAACATAAACTTCAAAAACAAACAATGCAGACAAGAGACAAGAATTCTCATAGATGTGTTTTTTGTTTCATAAGATGATCTTCTAAACTACTGTTAACCTATACAACAACAACAAAGTTTTATTCCACTAAATAGGGTCGGCTGTATGAATCTAAAATGCATCTATACTTAGTTTTGGCCAAGTCTATCGTTAGCTCCAAGTACTCAATGTCTTTTCTAAAGTCTCTTTCAAAGTCTTCCTAGATCTTCCTCTGTCCATCAAGGCTCTGGCTCATAATCGCATTTTCTAACCATAAGTTATGTGGGTTTTCAGTACACATATCCAAACCACCTTAATCAATTTTCTTTTATCTTATCTTCAATTACCGCCACTTCGACTTTAATCTATAATCTGTAGAAGGAAATTTCGTTTTCAGTTGCAAAAAGTATGCACACTGCCCTGTCAACTCTGTCAACTCTGTATTGATTGACCTACCTATTATGTCCACTAAATATTTGATGGTGGGGTGCTTTTGAATAGAAGGCGAATATTCCCCTCAGAAAAATACAGACTACTAGAGAGAGCGATGTGGTGGGGTCAGGATCTCTCTTGAGCAAAGGATGAGAATTCTTTTAATCAAGTTCATCGGACCGTTGAAATTTTATCCAACGATTACAAACAGGAAACATTTCTAAAAATTATAATAATTGTAATCGTTGGATAAAATTTCAACGACCCGATGAACTTAATCAGGAGGATCTTCATCCTTTGCTCGTAAGAGGATCATGATCCATGTGGTGGTAGTGGGGGTGGTTTTCTCAATAGAAAGAGAGTAAAGCAGAACACAAGTGTAAAATCAGAATCACTTTTTTTGAGGGGGTTTTTCTCTTTTTTTTGAGGTGGAGTATTTTTGTTATGTACATGGGTGAAAAGGTCATTTCAAAGCCTGAAACCTAATTTCGACTGTTAAATTAGATTCAAAATGATCTTTTTCACCTTTTAAGTTAAATTGATAACACTTTTCGCATGAGCCACGCACATAAATAAAATCGGACAAAGTTGAAATACGAAGTTCGCTTTGGACTAAATTGATAGTAAGTTGTACCGCCGAGCCTAAAAACACGCAATGTTTTAATTCAAATGTTATTATATGAATTGACGATAAAATTGATATGTCATCAAATTAGCGTATAAATAAATCTGCATGTTATAATATGATCGAAACAAATACTCCAAAATAAATAAAGAAGTAAAGGGACACTTATAATTCCAGAAAATTGAAAACAAAAACACTTACTTGGAGTGAGTGGCGATGGCGGCAAGGCCATCAGTGCTGAACCCATCACAGCTGACAAGCGAGAGAGCTTTGAACCCACCAAAACAAACACCCAACATCTCCAGACTCTCATCAGTCACCGTCATCCTCTTCAGCCGGAGCTCCTCCAGCAGCGGGTACTCGGCGGCGAACGCCTCCACCCACGGCCGGACATCGGAGCCCCAATGGTCGGGGACCAGATTGAAGTCCGCGAACCGGGGCTTCCCCTTCAGGGTCACGCTCCGAATGTTACGAAACCGCCGGGAAACAATCTCCGGCGATGTGGCGTAACAGTTTCCGATAAACACGTGGCGGCGCGACCACCGCTCCGCGTCGTACCAGTCCTTGCACACCAGCGACACCGAGCCCCGGTCCTTTCCCGACTCCACCATGCCCAGAACCCGCTCCAGAACCTCGTCGGGAAATACCGACCGGACCCTGTATTCGTCTTCCGGGTCGTGCAACCCGGATTTCTTCCTTTTCGGATCCATGAATAAAAAAAATGCAGCACGAAGAACTCGGACTGAAAACAAAAACCCGGAAATGCTGTGCGGATCCGAATACGAGATAGAGATTTGAAACTGAAAAAATGGAAAGATTTTAAGCTTTGAAATTTTTAATGGTGGGATGTGGCATTGATATGAAGATGAAAGCTTTGGATGAAGAGAGAGAGATGAACGAAAGATTTGAGGAGAGAGAAGGGCCAACCCAAAGACCTTTGCGTATTACAGCAGAAGGAACAGATGAATGAATAATTAATTATTGGTTTAATAATGGAGTTAATTATTTGTTTAATAATTAATTAAGGTTTTTTTTTTTAATACATTATGGTAGTTTATTGTACCTAATACTATATATTATTGCCCAATCAACAAATCTGAGTTTTTGAAATTTGATCCAACGATTAAAAACAGGGAATCCGTTTACAGGTTATAATAACTTTAACCGTTTAATTAAATTTCAAAGACCCAGATTGGGAGATTGGCGGATCCCTTTCATAACATTAGTACAAGTTTAGAAGTAGAAGTAGATATGAGACACGCTTACAAATGAAAGCGTTTCCGTTTCTCAAATTAATCATGCAATATTATATAAAATAATTAAAATATGTAAGAACGCTTAATAGGTTTTAGGGTTCATCATCTTGGTATTCCGTCTTAATAGGTTTCATGTTCTTTTTTCTCAACAATTATTTGTTACATTTATTCAAGATATTATCTACCGCTTCTTTGTGTAATTCCTCGACGACCACTTGAACCCAAAAAACAAACAAACAAAAAAAATCTTTATTGTCAATGACTTGTTCAAATGCACCCCATGGTCTAAAGAGACGTGTTCCACACGCGAACATTGTTGAAAGGCTAATCTCGTCTAATCCTACTCTGCGAGTTTGAGAATTGTCAGATGCCTCACCGCAAGTGAAATATCTCAGCCAAGACCGCAGGTATCACAAATTCCCTGTGGCACCAGCTGAATTGTCGTCACAATTTTCATCATCCCTCATTACCTCGGCACCTTACTTGCCAATGAACGGAAAGAGTTCGTTGTCACAAGGCAGGCCGACATCCAAAATGATCTCGTACGTAGGTTCATATTTCTCTAAACCTGAGAGCAAAGCCGCGTCGTCCCCAAACGGGCAGTTGGACCCACAGTGTCCACCAGAGCCTAAACAAGCCCATGTTCCACCAACGGCCTCTCTCCTGGGTGTCCATATAACCCCCATGCTGCGCACTACGTTGTTAATGCGTCACCTTGTGAATCTCAAAATTTTTGTTCAGCTTAATTCATCAAATATAAGGACGGAATCAAGAATTTTCACGAGTTGACTATTGATTTTAATTTGGTGAGTGGTGTATGATGACTTTTTCACAATACAAGCGCGAAATTAAGAATTTTTAGAAACAAATAACGCAGCGAGATATAAAAAGAAAGTGAAAATTAATATATAATAGAGCTCTTGTGCACAGTAAAAGTGACCTAAAAATTCAGATATCGCTTCACCAACCAAATCGGAGGGAATTTGTAACTGCAAAATTTGGGACCTTCAAATCCCACGTGGAGACGTTATTTTACAAAATTTGGGACGTAGGAGGAATATGGAGACAGTTATTTTACACAAAAACCCACGAGCCTGGGAGAAGGTTACAATGAAAGAGGAAGATCTGCTGCTGCTGCTGCTGCTGCTGCTGCTGCTGCTGCTGCTTCAAGTAAGTAATTCCTCAACGAACGATTTGAATTCGAATACAAAAATTTTGTTTTATTTGTAGACTCGATCTTTTTAAACGTGCGCCGCGGTGCTTGTCAATATATCGTCTGATGGCGGCTCAATTCAAATGCGACTCGAGTCCCTCCCCCAGATGAAACGCCTAGCCCAGTCCGTTACCACCAGTGACCTGTTGCGCCAGCTCACTTGTTTGCTGAAATATTGTTCAGACGCAAATGTGTTAAGATAATGAAATCAAACGTTTCATTTTTCTAAGGCATATACGCGTATTGGATTGGTGCTACCGCTCGATGAGCCATGACGATGTTATTTTCAAAGCGTTCGCAGTGTAGCGCGACGTTAATTATGCAGCTGTATCCAAATAGAATAAGTAATAATACCTAGCGTAAACAGAATACCAAAGCCACTGGGAGCTATGACCAATGGAAACCCAATCTCCAGGAAGCTGAGCTGCTGTCTGCTCTCCACCCAATGGAGCAAACTGCCCCAGATGCTTGTACCTTCACACAAGAATGTATCGTTCAACATATTAACCACCGACCAAGACGTCACTAAAAATTTAGAGTCCGTTTGATAATCATCTTGTTTTTATGTTTAATTATCAACTAAAGGCACTAAAATTCAGACATAAGAATCGCAAAGCATGGCTTCAGAAAAAGCACTCAACAAGAAATTTGAATCGTACCTAAAGGGTCGAAACCGATGGCGACCTTCTCCACGGAACCTGAGAGGACCTTCAGGATTTTTCTCAGCCTCTTCCATACGGTTGAAACACTTGGCAAGGTAGACACCTTGTTGAGCAGCAACCTGGAATGCATGACATTTAAGAGGCAAATAAGACCCATACATTATTTATATGGAGAAAACATGCGTCTTGATAAAAATTACAATTATCGAAATGTTCGTGTACCAAACCAAGTACCTGGGCTGTGGCTGGAAGATTTTTCATCTGGGAATCCACTTTAGAAAGAGCGGTCTTGAAATCTTCAATATTAAACTCCACATTTCCTTTTGAAACATCCGTTGTTTCCTTCAAAAGATCAACCATATTTTTCATCTGTTTGCTCTTCAGATAAAGCTCCACCTGAGGATACCTTTCACAGATATCCTTAATCACTTCTTCATACTCGTCGATTGTAAGTGTTCCTGAATTATCCTTGTCCGTTTTGCGGAATATGGCAGCAATATCCTCCTGAAAAGCAAACAGGCATTAAAAAAACAAACTAGACATAATAATGGAAGATTTAAACAAAGGATCGATCCAATACGATAGATATGTACTGCACTCGGTGGTTATTTAGCATATCACACAGATTTTCATATAGCTTAAGCAAATAGAGAATCAACAACTGGTTTATCGTATTGATTTTATCGGAGAAACCAGTCAAATTTCCAGTTTACATGACTCCCGTCTCCAGAGATATCAAAGCCTCCAATTTTAACGCAGTCATGCAAATTAATAGCATAAAAATCAATTGTTCATCAGGTAGCCAGAACTCCTGATGCCGATTAACAACAGGAAAAACAATACCACATTCTGCTGAACATACTATTTCACAGAGAAGATAACAAATAAAAGAATGACGAGACAAAAATCTATTGCAAACTGCATTTTCCAGCATTATCATTGCAACTTGCAACACATTAGAGAAATAAAAAGTGCAGTTACCATGACTTTGCGCTGATTTATTGTGGCACAATCACCAATTGCATACACTTTGTCGCATCCCTCCACACGCAGCCATTCATCAGTTGCTAAAGCCCGTCGATTACCCTGATATTCAAGTAACATATGCTAGTTTAATAGCAGTGACATTTTCTTGTAAAAGACACATAATTGCACATCATAAGCTTTCTTAAGACAGAGAAGTCAACTAAGAATCAATGAGAAGGAGAAACACACCTGACCAACTTGAGTCATGAAATCCTTTATGAAAGGACGCGTTCCAATACCAGTTGACCAGAGAGCCATTCCATAAGGCATAGCAGATACTTCCCCGCCATTTTTCATTTCCTTGGTAAAGATTTCTTTATCAGTTACTTTCACAACCATGGATCCTGTTTTCAGATCAATACCCTCTCTTTGAAACTTTTCTTCAGCAAAAGATGTGATTCTTTTGTCAAACCTGCAAAAACATGAGAAGAATTCAGTGATAATGAAGAAATAAAAAGCAGATATGGCTACTTTAAACAACAAAGTACTAGTTCCGAACAAATAACAAAGGTTTAGCATGTCAGATGCTTTACTAACATATTCAGAATATGATCTCCAGCCTCGAGAATTGTAATTCTAACTAGATCCTTGACCCCGGGATACAATTTGACCAAATCCTCGTTGACAAAATCATGAAGTTCTGCAGCAAATTCCACACCAGTTGGGCCACCCCCGACAACAGCAAAATGAAGAATTCTCTTCTTCTCCTCATCGCTTACAGTTGGAAGGCTTGCCTTTTCAAAGCAGTCAATAACAGTCCTTCGAATCTTTTGAGCATCTTCCACTTCCTGCACGAAGTAATTCCCCGAGACGCATAAAACAAAGATGCCAATATCAACTAACAAACCTGGTGAAAAAACTCCATTCACTTTCTTTATGCTACTAGCGGTAGCTGATGTGGGGATTTTATTTGCACAAGAGAAAACTTACAAGAATATATCGATTAATACAAATACAAGGTTTTCAAGAAAATAACCTTCAAGAAGTGGCAGTTCTCCATCACACCAGGAGTATTGAATGTATTAACATTGGCTCCCACAGCTATAATAAGGTAGTCATAATCCACAACAAACTCTTCTTGTCCATCCAAATTGTTTTCTAGATTAGAATGGCAATAGATTTTATTGTTTTGTGCATCGATCTTCAGACACGCAGCTTCAGTGAATTGAACGTCCACATTTTTCTGTACAAAAGAATCATTGTCCAGTCAAATAATAAGTGATGGCAACCAGAGACTCTGAAAACACTAAGCAACAAGCACTACCTTTCTAACAATGTTTCGAATGGGTTCAACAATGCTGCGAGCTTCCACTGTACCACAGGTAACGCTTGGTAGCAGAGGGGTGAAGGCAAAGTAATTCCGAGGTGATATGATCTGAACCTCATAGTTGGGATTTTTCAGATTCCTCAAGAAACTTGTTCCAGCCCAGCCAGTTCCAAGTACCACAATCTTCTGTTTCTTATTGTCCACTTGATCTATGACAGGCGCGCTGCTGATCAGTTTTGGCTCAGGGGTTGCCTCAGCGTAAGCCACATAGCCACCGCCACTGCCATAGCACAAAACCAAAACATAATCGTATGGTGCATCATGTAATATGCGAGCATATTAACACCAAATTGTAGTATCACTCTCATAAAGGGCTTGCAGCGCCACATATATTTAATTTTTACTCTCTGCGATCTTTTAGTTATCTACGAATAAGCATTCTCATTCGTTCACTACCTTTATGCACATAGAAACATTTTAAGTCAGTAAAACTGGTAAGCATAAAACAAGTAAAGACGCGTAGTTTCAATCTAAATTCCCTAAATATGCGGCAAAATTGGATGAATCTGTGGATCGTGATTCTTTTATAGCCACGGAACCACCAACGAATTGGCTGCAATTCATAGCTTGAACTAATCAAGTACACATCGAATGCTATATTTTCGTGCATGTTTCGAGTGGCGTCAAAATTGCCACCATAAGACATGATCTATTGAACCACAGCGTCCTTTTGAGTCAGTGAAACTGGTTAACACAAAAACAAGTAAACGCGCATAATTTCGAACTAAATTCCCGAAATATGTTGCAAGATTGGATGAATCTGTGCATGCTAATTCTGTTACATCCTTCAGATCAATGAACTCCAATTTCCTCACATTTTCAACTGACAGATTCAATTTTCCACATATGTGAAATAATTCCAAGAGATCTGATCGACTAAAGAGACTTCCAAAAATTTTGGAACAAAAAATATGAACAGAGAACATATTTTTCAGCATGCGATAAAACAGAGCAAATTTTTCAGAGTGTAGCAAAACAGAGCAAATATTTTCGAATTAAACAGAAATAATCGATTCATAAAGGAATCAAATGGAAATTAATTAACAGCCAATAAACTAGAAAAATAAGAAACCTAAATTTAGAAATTTCGCTCATATTTTCAAATAAATACTCAATAATCGAACTGAATAATCACAGAGGAAGCAGATTGAACACACAGAGGACGAAAGAGATGATCGAGACAGAGAGACAGAGAGAGAGAGGAGAGAGAGAGAGTATATACCTGACGGCGACGACGACGAGCATTTTGGAAGCCTTAGGATAATCATGGAAGGCTTTAGAAACTCGGTCGAAGAAAGCGAAACCTCGCATTTTCGGCGGTTTCAAGCTTTTCGGCGCTCAGATCTGCAGCCGAAAAAGCACAAAATCTAGAGAGAGAAGCACAAGGAGGCGGAGGAGAAAGAGGGGAAGTTACAGAGAAAAATGGGGAGAGAGAGAGAGAGAGAGAGGCGCGGTATGTAAAAGAAGTTAAAGAATCCGGAGAGGTTGGAGGCGAAGGTTCCAGCCTTGCCGACGACTTGGACCGCAAGGCACAACCCTCGCCACGTGTGATGCGGATGCGAGTCGAATCAAAACGGAGCGGTTCGTTTGTTAGAGTTGGACACGTCCGCCATGGTGGCCCCTATGATGTGCTGGAGCTCGAGGGCTGCGTGATCGATTCTACGTTAAATGCACGGCTCATGTTTTATTTTATTTTTTAAATTTAGAAAATTTTCTGTCAGATGGACCGACGGTTGCGTCTTTGTCTAATAGCACAATGTCGTATGCGAATTTCTTTTTACGTGACGTTATTAAAATAGAAATGTTATTGTAATAGTGTAATTAGCTTATATAATTTTTCTATTTTTGGGTTTTATGCGATTCTTATTAGCTCATTTTAATGACATATCTCAACGAATCAAAAATTCGAATCTCTCTCTCTTCAACAACTTGAAACTCTTAATTTTTGACCATCGAGCACAAAAACTCGAAAAAAATCTTGATACAAGGAAAAGGACCCCATTGACATCATCACATGCCACAAGATTGAAGTTGAAGAACCATTCCTACCGGTACATGATGTAGTACATCACGTTTCATTATACAAATGTTAGGATATATGTATTGAAAAGTTAATAACTTTAAAAAATAAAATTTCATATCGTTTACATAAAAATACGTAGTGTACCACTCGTGTTCCTGTCATAATAAAAAATTTCCCGTCAAGAGTAAGTTAGCATGCGGCCCCGGAATCAGCGGAATAACACCAAATCTTTGACTATTTTTTAGTTTTTATTGATGCTTACTAAATATCGAGTTTATTTATTTATTTATTATTTGCTTTGGTGAAATTTTATTATTTTGTGGCCTTTGGTAGACTAATCTCGAGAAATAGACCGAAGACATTTTATGGAACATGCTCTGTAGTTTCCGAGACGTCTTGCATTTGTCTTGTTATCTCAACAAATAAGTTGGTCAAACAAAATAAAGGAAATTGTAGTAATGGTCTACAATTTTAATTTAATTAGAACAATAGTTTTTCTACTAAAAATTCATGACTATTCATCATAACTTTCTTCAAATCAAGTCGTGTTGGAAGAATCATTGCTACAATTAGATTAAAGTTGAGGAGCCATTTCTCCAATTGGATTAAAGTTGAGGGATCATTGCTCCAATTGGATTAAAGTTGAGGGACTATTTCTCCAATTTGATTAAAGTTAAGGGATCATTCCTACAACTTGTTCATTTAGTTTTTCATATTTTCCTCTTGATTCTAACCTCACATGAGTGGCACGTACTCATTTTAACCGAAATTTTAACGAAGTTGAGGAAAATAATCATTGCTACACGTTTTGATGAATTAAGGAATTAATGATCATGAATTTTTAGTTGAGGAATTCATTGCTCGAATTAAATTTTAGTCAATAGAACATTGCTACAATTTTCTCAACAAAATAAAGCAAGAGAAATGCAAAAGCACTTTTAAACTAATCCTAATTCTTTGGCTTGCGTATTTTTTTAAGAAACTCTTGCAAGCAAGATTACGACGTTTGCTTACAAAAAAATAAATTAATGTGTCAAATGAAATGAGCATAAAGCTTTAAAATTTGTTGGGACAGGTTGTTCCACCCAAATTTGCATGTGATAGTTCACGTCGCTCAAAAGGCATGTGACTTGCCAACCTTTATATAATACTCGTACATGTCAAGCGCATGAAAGAGTGTGCTTTCATCAAACCATTCCCTTTTCCCTTGATTTCCTTGCCATACCGGCCAACTTCATAATATAATGCCACCTACTATAATGTCTCGTGCTAATGATAAAATGTTATATGGAAGATTTTTGGGAATTTTAATAAAAAACTTCTGGTATTGTTTATTTTAACGAAAAAACATATGTTTACACTAAAAAGTCAATCATGGTACCATTCACTTTATTCTTGATTTTGTCTTTATCGTTAAAATTCAAAGTTTTCAAGTCATTTTCATTAGTTTTACTAAGATTTTTTTCATATAATATATCGGTTAAATATCGGAGAAACTCTTATATTTCGTCCAAACCAATGTTTGACATTCCCTAAAGTTTCATTTTAGATTTTCATCATTCATATCGAAGGCAACCAATATCGATATCGATGTATCCCAATGATATTTTCACAAATGTACATATCGATATTCCAAATACTACTTAAGCCTGTCATAAGCCCACTTTCTATTTGAAGAGGCCCAACTGGATCAGTTCTGGGCCCAAATGAAGTCCAATTTACTCAAAACACACGCACAATCTGTAATTTGGTCATGGGAAAATAAAATTCCAATAAACTAAACGGTAGTGATTTGCTATCATAATCCAAGAAGCACCTTACTCAAATAGTATCACTTGCTAGTTGGAAAACGACAGGAATATTGCAAGTACAACGTTTTACTAGTCAAATCATAATTTTTGTACTTTGATCAAAGATTTAACAGTTTAAAAATTTTGAATATCCGACACTCTAAAACAACGTGGAAAATCCTAAGCTGAGCCATATTATGTACTTTGTTGTGAGGCAGGTCCATCCTCCAAATTTGCTGCACCACCATCAATCAATGTATTAGGTCCAAGTCTCTTTTTTTGACATTACCAATCTACTTGTATTTTTTTTTTTTGCTACAAATGTATTAATATTAGGTGATAATCTATTACCAAAATTCCGTATCCATGATTATACCGTATTCTAAATTTTAGACGTTTCTTGTGACAGTAGTTCTTAGATAAAGTTTGGAAAAAATATCACAAAAATAAAGGAAACCGATCTGAAGAGGATTCGAATACATAGTCAAACCTAGACCTGTAAACGGGTCGGGTTCAACCTGACCCGTTAAATTAACGGATAATCCGAACCCAACCCGTTAAGCTAACGGGTCACTCGAACCCGATCCTTTAAGCTAACGGGTCACCCGTTTCACCCGTTATCACCCGTTAACAATTATTATTATTTTTTCTTTTGCATAAAGTTTATTTTTTGTTATTAAGACTTTACTAAAATTACTAAAATATCCTCAACTAACGAGTGCTAACGCTCTAACAGGTTGACCCAAAGTGACCCGTTATTTAATGGGTTGTTAACGGATTCACCCGTTAGCGACCCGACCCGTTAAGCATCCATCTAAATACAAATATTAACGGGTTGGGTCGGATCGAATTAACGGATTGGGTCCAAAATGTCAGGCCAGTCAAACCCATCATCCTATTTGACATCACATACGACGAAAGACTCCAGTGAAACATACGACGAAAGACTCCAGTGAAAAAAATATACAACAGTACAGCACTCATCACGTAATTTGAACGAAGGAACTCATGCATTATATAACCTACAGAGCTAGCTAGGGCCATAGATTTAAAGATGACTGATACAGCAATTGCAAGTCATGCGGTTTGACAAGTTAGCATGCAGACAATGCCATGAGCTGACATCTGAGCTCAACAGCAGGTCGACCTTATTATAAACAGTGCAAATCATATGGGGCACACTGCACACGATCTGTCTCGATGTTCTTCAATGGAATTGGATTTCATCCTAATCCACTTTATAGAGATTTTAAAGATTCTCACATCTTAATTATTGATTGTATATTGTGCAGTCAGAAATCATATGATACTTAATTCTTGTTTATGAAGGAAGGTGGCATTGAAATCCTTGATTTGCACGATGTACGATAAACGACTAGGATGTGAGGATCCCTACGATCCCCACAAAGTGGATCTGGAGAGGATCCTCTTCCTTCTTCAATAGCATGCACTGCTAGCTAGGGTTCAAGAATACTAGCTACAATTCTAATGTGAACTCATGCTCTTTTTATATGGTATTAATAAACTTCGTATGTATTGTAGTGCTTTAGTACCATATAATAATTGACTGTTAAAATCTAAATTGAAAATTATATTAATGTGAGATTGTCCCCACATTTTTCATACTAAATCTGTAAAATTTCGAAATCCTAATTTTAGGAACATATGCTGTAACAGAACTAACACAAGTTACACTATAAATGAATGGCGAGGATCATGGCACAATGTTCATAACCTGTTTACATGTTATACAACAACAACAACAACAACAATAATAACAACAAATTTTTACCTTATTAAGTGAGATCAGCCGTATAAATCCTAAAATATCACTATGCTTGATTTTGCACCAAGTCTTCACAGATTTTTCTCCTAATCTTCACAGATTTTTCTCTACTCCTTTTACCTAGTGCTTCTGTCTTATAATACGAACAAATTTATTTCAGTATCGCATAATAATTTTTCTTGTCATTAAGCATAAGGCAACAAACATCAAAATTAATCACCATCTTAATGTGAGATTGTCCCCCCCCCCTCCCCTCTTATACATCAAAATTATATCTTATCAATTCCATCCCAATGTTTGTGTACATGCACCATGGACTCTGCCCCTCCCCCCTTTTCAAGTGCACTGTGGAGTATGGACCACAAGTTCAAATCCCACCACACCACACTAGCCTCCACGTGTCCCTCAAACCTCTCCAATCAAAGTCATTCATCTTATCCGAAAGTAAAAAAATGGTATTGGGCTAGGGGCATATTAGACACTCCAACTAAACATTTTAACCTTGGTAATATACAACGGTAAACCATTACACAAACATTTCAGCGCCCCAAAATCCCAACATCCCAAAACATTCCACGTAAAATGTTTTGGAGCCTATTTTAAAAGTAAAATTCTTTACATATTCTTTATCGATTTATTTTTATTTTTAGCATAATAATTTATGATGTTAATATAAAAATTAACGTTAAGCTGTAAAATGATAGAAAATTCATAAAAAAATTACCGTTAAGCATTTCACAACACTCCAATTTTCACAATCTCCATTTAACATTTACGTTTGGATTATTATTCTGTTAATTTAAATTAATTTAGTGTTGATATCGCTCGAATAAAAGAAGAGAACATAATCCATCTTGTATTGATATTAATCTCATAACCAATCCAACATTAGCTGAACCTAAGATCGCCGGAGAACTGCCATTTCTCGGCGCAAAA